CACAGCCATTCTCACAACAACCTGCAATGTTTCGGCCGAGTGATGACTACGACAGCTGGGAGTTTCAGGTCTCGCTCTACCTTACGAACATCGACCCGGAAAAGCACGAACCCTATTTGTTGAGCTTCTTGAGCAAGACGCCACAAAATTTGTTAGGAGCGCGGGGATAAACGCTAGAACGCCTGCACCGGACATTTACAGTATTCTGCGTCGACTCTGCGCATTCAGAGCCCCCTGACGTCTGGAGGGAACGGTTGATACGACGAAAACAACACGAGGGCGAGACTGTGGATGAGTTCTACTGCACCTTACTGGAACTTACGGCCAAAGCTTACCCGAATTACTCGATCTCCGAAAGAGAAGCTGTTTGTTGTGAGCGATTTTATATGGGGCTTTTGGACGACCAACTGCGGATTAAATTAATGTACAAACCCGCCGCCAATCTACGTGAAGCCCTGGAGAAGGCTCGCAGACGAAATCAAATGTCGCGAACGAAGCAACAAGAGGATTCGGCGACTTGCGCGGCTGTACAAAGAAACCCAGCGGAACCCAACACGTCTCATCCAATCGAGAGTACTAGTTCCCGGTCGTGGTGCCCCTATTGTGCACGGTTCGGTCGACGGGCCCAACACTGCGGACACAACCCTCCAACGTATCTGCGTGATCAGAAAGGTAGGTCCCTAGCCATTGATTGCAAAATTGTTTCTGTTGCTACTGAGTCAGAATCGAATTCAACTCCATTTTCCCTAAAAGGCCGGTTGGAAGGCACCCCACTATCCTTCTTGACTGATACTGGAGCTTCATGCTCCTTGGTCAGCGAATACTTAGTCAAGCCCACCCGTACTGCCGACGCGGGACAATCGAACGTCACTGCTGTCAACGGTTCCAAAGTGTTCATCAAGGGTAGAGCACAGCTGAAAGTGAGTCTATCAAGGTTGTTGCCCTCTGTCTGTGGTAGCCGTAGAGGGACAACCGTATAAAGCTACCCATCGTTCTACGAATTGTCGAGCCACTGTTTCGGCCGTGACGGNCAGCTGAAAGTGAGTCTATCAAGGTTGGAAGTCACCCACCCCTTCTTGGTGTGTCATGGTCTTCGATGGGGAGCCATCCTGAGGATGGACCTTTTTGCGGAAATATTGTGACACGATTACAACCTCGAATACCTCCCTGAAGTTTCGGATACCAGGTGCAGTCCCAAAACAGAAACGTTACAGCACAACATATCCTGAGTGTTCGGGGATCCAGGTGCAAAATAGTACAAAACAAGTTGGCCTAGTTCATAAGAGTGTAGAAGAGCTTCAGATAATGTACGCGGACATTTTTGATACATCAACAAGCGTTCCCGGCGGTACTCATGTGATTCAGCACGAAATTGATACCGGAACCAGTAAATCCATTCGTCAGCGTGCACGGCGCTTACCAGTTCACTATGTGTCACAGCAGGACGAAATGATTCATGATATGTTACGAAAGAAGGTAATCCGGCCATCAATCTCACCATGGTCGTCCCCTATCATGTTGGTAAAGAAGAATGATGGTTGCTTAAGGCTGTGTCGACTACCGTAAGTTAAATGAAGTGACCCGGAAAGATGCTTTCCCTCTCCCGCGCATTGACGCCACGTTTGATGCTTTGTTTGACGCCAAGTGGTTCTCAACGCTGGACTTAGCAAGCGGCTACTGGCAGGTGGAGAATAAACCGTCCGATCGCAAGAAAGCCGCATTCATTATACCTTCCGGTTTGTACGAATTCGAGACTATGCCTTTTGGTCTGGCTAATGCACCGGCAACCTTCCAACGGTTGATGAATACGGTTGTGAATGGCTTAGTACCCGAAAGGTGCCTCATCTTTTTGGATGATATCATAGTCCATGGCAGGTCCATAGAGGAGCACAACGAAAGACTGGAAGAAGTGTTCCAGAGGTTGAGAAGAGCAGGACTATGGCTGAAGCCCTCAAAATGCCACTCCCTTTGTCGTTGGGTCAAATTTTTGGGTCACATAATCACTTCGGATGGAATCAAAACGGACCCCACTAAGTGTGACCGTATCAAAGCTTGGCCTCGTCCTACCTCGGTAGAACAGTTGAGAGCCTTATTGGGGCTAGCTTCCTACTACCGGAGATTCATTAAAGATTTCATCTCAATTGCAGCCTCTTTGCATCGACTCACCACTAAGGGTCGTACTTTTGTTTGATCAGCAGAGTGTGATCGTGCTTTTTCACAATTAAAGGTCAGGTTGACCTCCCCTCCCATACTAGCACTTTCTGATGTCTCCCGCAATGGGCGCACTTTTGTACTGGACACAGATGCTAGCCAGAACGCCATTGGAGCAGTTTTATTCCAAGAGTCTCCAGGGGGTGAATTTGTCATCGTTTACGCAAGTCGCGCGCTGGATTCGTCAGAGCGTAAGTGTAGCACCATCAGGAAAGAACTTCCATCCCTAGTATATTTTGTCAACTAATTTCGAGCATACCTTCTAAGCAAGCCATTTAAATTAGGACGGATCACCACTCCCTACAGTGGCTGAAGAACTTCAAAAACCCCGAGGGTCAGGTTGCGAGGTAGCAGGAAAAGC